AGAGGAAATTGACGGTATCGGTAAACAAAGGATTATGAATCATCTAATAATAATCATTGATGGTATTCTTCAAATCGTAGAAACAAAGCATATCTTTCTTTCAAGACAGTGATCTTCTGATAATAATCATTGAGTTATTCTTGGAATCGTATATCAAAGAAATAAACGAGGAATTTGACTAAGCAATTCCTTCAACATAAATATCAATAATACAAAGATACTTTAATATCATACCGTGCACTTTTATGATCCATAAGTTTATCAGTAATAATACTTTCCGTATTATGTATTATAAATCTCTTGTTAAAGTTTGAATCACCTTATTTAGTAGATAGACACGTATCAACTTGGAATATTTACCTGCATGAAACAATAAACTTTGATTTATTTTAATTACTTATTTTTATATTGCATTAAAAGAATTAAAAGGTTTAAACGGATTGTCTGAGTTGATAACAGTGACTTTACGAATAGCATTACTTTTTTTCTCTCAAAAATGATTGTGATATAATATGAAAGCAATATTTTGCTAAATTATTCGTTGCATACAAAAATTTATACCAATCTTCTTCCTTCGTTAAACTGTTTGTTGAACCTTCAATTGCTGTGCACAAAACATACAGTAAAATGTTCAAACACATTTTTAATTGTTACATTTCTCTAAGACAGCATTCCACCTCCTCACTTCAATCCATCCCCATTTTTTATTGTAATCAGTTAAATCTTTATCTGGAAACACTGCAGTTTTCAGAATAGTAAATTTAATTGAGTTGCATATGCACTGATACAAATTAATTTTTGGCTAACTTTATTACATTAATTAGTAAAATCAATTATTCCAATGATATACCCACTTCAAAACCAGAGGATATGAGGGAAAAAAGTTTTCTACAACTAAAATATTGAGGTTTAAAGCCTAAACAAAAAGATCGCGTACATAAAGCCAATCATAAATCAGAGTTTGGTTCTAAGAATAATAAAAGAGAGAGGTTTCAGATAATTGCAGCTGGTAAGAAATATCATCTTTTATATTCCATAAAAAGAGTTGATAATCCAAATGAAGTGTTTTTAAGTATTACAAAAAAAACAATAAAAATAGCACATATAAAAATAAACAAAGTCATAAAAGCTTTTGAAGTAATGTCAAAGCCATGACAAATATACATAACCATCTCAAATTTACATAGCAACTGATTTCTCATCCTCTGGTCGCTTTAGACCTCGAATTGTTAGATCATAGACAACTTGTTCAGCTCTCTGAACATCGTATTTCAGTGTATCGTATCTTCTACGCAGTCCATCATTTTTTAAATTTAACATGCGAAATTTTGCATCGAGATCATAGAGAAAATCAGCAATCTGGAAATGAAAAATACGAAGTAACGTTTTTAAAACACAGAGAGAGTGTAAAAGTTCTAATTTTGAAATTTCTCTCGAAAATAATATCCTTAATGAAGCAAAGCAATAAATATATTGCTTTTTCTTTTATAGCGATGTTTTGCACAAAAAAACCCAATAACGCAAACCACATACATTGGAATCCCAAAAGAAATTTCAAAAAACCTTCATCTGTTTCTTTAACGGATGGTAATGATCAAAGATAACAATGAGCATTATCGTTTAAGTTATAATTGAAAATAGAAATACAAGTCTATAGAGAAATAGACCTTAAAGGGTAATATGTTATTACCAACAACAACAGCATTAATGGAAAATCGTGACAGCTCACTGGCAAGTTGGAGTAAACCAAATAAATAGTCTTCGACGTCCAGATGAAAACCACTTGCTGGATCAACTTTAACTGAAAATACATTTGTTTTAATCATAAAGGCATAACTAAGATTCATTATACAAACATAATAATCATCATTTTTTGTGAAGAAAATCATTGATAGCTAACTGATTCTTTCATGTAATAAGTTTTCTGGAAAATGTCATACTGTTTAAGATTTCAGCAACTTTGTCGCGATTTAGCAAGATTCCATGTTCAAGAAAATGAGCATAAGTCACAACAAAGCATAATTTTTGAATAATGAAACGGAAATTATCGAAATATCTGAAAAAAAATGGATTATAAGTGAGAATTATCAAGAACAATTTCAAAAAAATATCACACCTACTAATTTCAAATTTACTACTTCTTTATAATGTTTGGAGTTCGCTATCTGGATTAAAAGAAAAAATTGTGAGCATGTTCAATCAGAGCATTTATGCACAGCTATATCTGTCCTGTGATTGCGATACTATATGAGGATTGAATTTTTTTCAAACACTTTTTTTTCATTGCAGAAATCATGCACTGAAGATTCCGTAATAGGCGAATTATCGTAAACTAAGCTCTACTTCCAACTTTTTAAATCAAAATATGAAAGCATTCATACGATTCAAATTAAAATTGATAATACACTCAATTTAGTAGAGAGAAATTTATCTAGCGAAAATGAAACTAAATAAAGTCTTTTCAAACAAATCATAAATCCAAGATTAATAAGAATTCGGTCTTGGTCTTGTTTTGTATCCTTATGTCCTAGAGATAATATCACATTATAGTTATAGGAATGTTAGGAAGATGTTTTGAAAAACTGCCATCAAATTAATGACGAAAAAAACTGAATTCTATTTATTCGGCAATAGAAATAATAAAAATACCAATGGTAGAGATCTTATCTTCTCAACTTGCTTAGAACTTCCATAATACATTCCATCATATGTGGATATTATTTGGTTATTAATAACACTGTACTTAAATCCTAAAACATATTCCCATACGTACCGATAATATGATACAGGAGATATTAGAGCAGCAAGTTTTATCAAATACTTTTGCACTTCATTATGTAGAATGTTTTTTACTTCCTTTAGGTATGTATCTGCAAATAAGCATAATAACACCGTAGATATAGAATTTGTCACTTTTAAATTAATGTCTTAAAAGTACTTAACTATTCCGAAATGATCGGTTAATCCAGCAGAAACAATTAACTACAACTTCGTTAATCAATGACACAACATACCCTGTCCATCCTTCAATGTATGTGTTTTCTGCAATATAGCAACGATTCTCGATATCCAATACTCCATTCCATGTGCTGCATCCGCTATATCCTTCAAATATTTAAAAGAAAAATTTAATTCCTTTTTTCCCTCTCGTAAGAAACAAAAATGAGCAAAAAACAACAAAAACTCATTCTTCCTCCCTCTACATATTTCTTCTGAAATTCGGGTCGCGTTAGACTGAATAACCTTTTTATATTATCACAAGTTATTGTTATCTGTGCCGGTAAATTTAACTTAGACTTAGGCGTGGATAACAATGTTCACATACACTAAGCCGAAATTTCACGTAAGAAAGAAGAAATTTGAAACATACATCTTTTAAAATACGATCTTTTTCGACTAATTCCCTGAATGTTTCAAACATAGAATCAACTGGATTTGCTGTATCCGATGATAACGCCATATCTACCATTTCTAGAATGATTAATTAAAAGCAATAACATATCAAATGATTGGTATTCTAAAGAATATAGGAAAATAGTTCGATCATACAGGCATAAAAAAATTTACCAGACATAAATTAACTAGCCAGAAGCATTACTATCAAAATAACGGTTTTAATCGCTACGGCTTTATAAATAATGCCTTCGAATAATGGAAAATTGTGGGAAATGAAGATTAAAAAAAAAGATTCACTGAAATAGATCTTTTTCTAAATTATAGTAAATTGATCTAAAAATTAATGATTTGGTACAAAGATTTGACATAGAAATTAAAATTAAAATTTAAACAACAACAATTACTTAATCACAAGTTTTAAAACATAAATCGTTTACTCTCAATTCCTCTTCTCTCGCTAGCTATGGAACTATTATTCTATTTTCCCATTATCTTACTGCATCCCTTTTGTTCTCTAAAATTGGTTACCACCATAATAAACAATTATCCTTAAGTTCTCTATAATCTTCATACTTTATGTTTTGTTCTGCACATTTCACAATCTCTGTCGTCTCTTCGATAAGATTAATGTTTTTCACTATCTAATTCTTTCTCATACGCTTTTCCTTTTTATTCTTAATCTTTTAATCCTCTTTTTTCACATACTATTAATCAAAGCAATTTGCATTCATTGCGATCCAAACAAGGACCACATAGCAAAGTAACATACGGTTGATGCGAAATTTGAAACGAAAATTAAAATCTCAAAAGAGCAAGTCTCATGCATTGTGTGGGCGTGAATTGCATTTCATTTTGATTTCCCAAAGTTTTTTCTTCTTTCTTCATGTAAGTCGTTCGTCGTTCCGACTGTTTCTCTCTTCTTACGTCTTGAATCGGGAAAACTTTTAGTCCCGAAATGGATTGCTATACGTTGCCAGCTGATATGAAAATATATGATAAGCATCAATAATTCAGTCAGCGTAATTAATGTTTCCCATAAAACTTACATGAGTCACGTATCTATCTTGACATTTAAAAATTCATTGTAATGTATGGTATTTGACAATGAATAGCACAATAATGGTTATCGTTATAGTGGTAAGTAATACCAAAATTATCATTGTCCACAATAAATAAACATTCTAGTAAATTTCATTTATTTTTCTATCAGCTTTAGCGTTATCAGTAGACAAAGAAAGAGCAAGATGTACATTACGCTGCAATAAAGCTGATTCGATGCTATTTCTACTAGCTGGAAAAACTCATATTATTTTTTTCTCTTCATTTAAATCTTTGCTGTGTTAAAGTTCTGTAATGAAAAAAAAAACTAAGTTGCTGAAATTAAAACACAATTAGTAGTGAATTGCTATTGGATTAAAAATTGTTAAATGTAATAAGTTTTATCATTTTATCAATTTCACTTTACATTAGATAATATAGAATGGATACTTAGTATCGAAATATATTCAAGGGCAGCATATTGAAAATTTGATGCTATTCACAATCCCTCTCTCTCTCTCTCTCTCTCTCTCTTTCTCTCTCTCTCTTTCTCTTTCTCTTTCTCTTTCTAGTAAGTCTTACATATCACGAATTAATTAGAAGTGCTATGGAATAATGATCAGAAAAGAAAAAAAAAAAGCAAAACCATACATCTTTCATTTTTTTTCTCTTGCTTGTTACTCTACTCTCCACTTATTTCTCTTTTATCCCTTTTTTTTTTAAATTCATCGAACTTGAATGGGCCAAAAATTTTAGATAGCGCGGTTTGAAAACGGAAGTAATTATTATTATTTGATATTATTATACGATGACATCATTAGTGATTAAGAAATTTTATTTCATAAATTGCTGCCATTCTATCGTACAGTATGCATATTAAAAAAATAAATGCAAATCTATTTTGAATATAGGAATTTCAGTTCAATTGAACGAAAAGTTTAATCAATTTTTTATGTTAATTTTTATGTAATAATCCATTACATTTCGTATTTAAGCTTTCAGCTACTCAACGAATCTGCACGAGTAACGACATATTTACTGAATGAAGTATGGAAATGAACTTCATTTCATATCACAATAATTATAATTTCTGATATGATCACTCATTCAAGCGTCTTGCATGATAAACTCATTATTGACTTTATTGAAATTTGCAAATTTCTCTTTTGCGCCCCATTACTTCTTCACATTTCATTCCCTTCAAATTATTATTTTTCGAGAATTAAATTTTCATCTCTATCGTTCACATTTATTCTTGTTTGCTTTCTCATTTCATTCCATTTTATTCAGTTTCATTTTTCCTTTTTATTAGGAAAAAATAAAATGATAAGATTAAATGATAAAGGGGAATGAAGAAAAATTTTGTTTTTCCAAATAAAAATTATATTAAAAGGAAGCGGAAAAAAAGGAAGAGAGAGAGAGAGAAAGAGAGGGAAGCAAAATTATCACGAAAAGCACTAATTTAATATTCTTTTCTTTTTCTTTTTTTTGCCTAAAGGGAAATGAAAGGAAAAATGCTTTCGCATCAGTATGATTTATGCAAATAGAATGCTAGTAATGATTACATGGCTACAAATTTTGCCAGTGCTTTCTTTTTTCTGCTAATTTTTAAAGTTTAAGATTAATTTAATTTTAATTTTGAACATTGTGGAACTATGAAATTTAAAATGAAGAATTGAACTTTTTTTTGCTTTCAACCCTCATTATTTTTACATTTAGTCATATTAAAGAATAAAAAATTTCTTTCCATATATTAGCTGCACAAAAGAGTGGATAAAGAATTTCTTCTTTTCATTTTTTTTCCTCTCTTTTATTCTCACATTTTATCAATTTATATGAAATTTTTGAAATTACAATATTTAGGAATTTTTTTTCTGCTTAAATATTTATAATATTTAATCATATTGTTAACAAATTCCATTTAATATCATCATATGATTATAATATTATTTACTATCATATGCTCAATTAATTTAGTTATTCGATTATTTAATTCAAAGTGTTTCTTTTTTTTTTCATTCACAAATAGTGCGATACAACTTGAAATAAATTTTAAGCAGAAAAAAAGAAGAAAGAAAATCAATTAGATAAAACACAATAAAATAAGACAACTTTTTTATTTCGGTCTTTCAGCTAAAAAAAAGTAACAACGATGTGATAGTTTTAAACATAAATCAAATTTTTGCATTTGTCTCTCCAAAATTTTCAATCCCTAATTTATGTTACATTTTTCCTCCTCTCGTTGTCTGTTAAAGTAAAATTTACCATAGTCACTATCTAATTGATTTGTCCTTTATCTAGTCTAAAATTGAGCATTTTTGCAATATATCATATCTATCCTATCTACTAGTATATCTATTTCTTTATCTTTTATCACTTTCTAACACTATTATTTTCGCTTAAAAATATAGCAAAATATTGGCAACAATTAATTGATTATTCCAAAATGATTTTCATTATCTCAAACATATAATTATAATCAATTTCTTGGCTTATTTGTTCTTCAATTTCTGATTAAGTGAGCAAAATAATCTACATTTGAAATATTTATTTGCATTAAAATTTCATCTCATAAAAAGAAAGTATGTTTAATATTTCGTAATTATTAAACTTTCTTTATTTAATGCTATCATTAATAAAAAGAAAACAAGATTTGCAATATCAGAAAAGGGCGAATAAATATCTCTTGGCTCTTTTTTTCCTTTTTCTCCATTTTAAAAACTGAAATTGAAATTGTATAATTATAAATAGCTTGCAATATTGAAATATTATTGAAATATCATTTAAGTTTCCGCCTAACTGAACAAAACAATTCTTTGAAAGCAACAGTAATTACCATATTGAAATCCTCATATATCTCTTCAAACAGTCAAATCATTCATTCCATTTTAGTCATTAATCTTCTAAACTTATTAAAGTTCGCCACGTTTTATCACTTTTAAACTAAAGGAAAAGGAAATGCAAGAAAATATCTGCCATCATACATATACGATGAATAATTTATACTCAAAATAGAACTTTTATAGACGTAAATGGATTTTTCACTATCACAGAATTGTATTAATTACATTTTAAAGGAAGTTTCTCTTTCAAAAAAAGTTTAATTATTGAAGAAAAGAAATTTTAAGTTTAATGAATTCTCTATCGAAGAATTCATTAAACTAAGATTTTTAAAAGGTATTCAAAAAATAGAAAAAAGAGTGCATAAACAAAATGGAAAAAAAATAAAAAAAAAGGTGATGGGGGCGCAAAAAAACGATTAATTTTGAGCGAACAATTTAACGTGATTATTGTAGCTAGGCATAAAACATGTCCATTTTTAGGAAAAAAGAGCCCAGCAAATAAGCTAGGCTTTTTTTTTCTTTTTTCTCCATTTCATCCACCCTCTTTTTGGTCTAATAAATGCAATGAATAGAGATATAAGAAGAGTAGGAACAAAACGATACACATACATTAAATATAATATCATGCCATTTTTTATTTTTCTGCATCATTGCTATTTTACTTTCCCCCCTCTTTTGTCCTTACCTCATCTTTTTTTTTTCATCTCCGATGTTAAATTTTATTTTCCAAATAAGAAAAAAATTCTCTTTTTTTAAACCTTATAGCTTATTATTATATCTTTTTCGTTTCTATATTTAAATTTAAGTAATTATGAAAATTTGAAACGATACAGTTAAGTTTAATTGATCTTTTCAGTTAAAAATGTTTAAAAAATTATAGAGTTTTCAGTTCATATGTTTTCACATCACGCAAACAATAATTACATCCATTTTTTGCATTTAAAATATCATTTATCAAATTATTAATAAGGCATTTGACCGGAAAGATTAGATATTTGTAAATATCTTGAAGTTTGTAGTTTGTTTTCATACTTATTTAGCATATAAATTTCATACATTTGATAAGTGCAAAAATATTTATCATTAGAGCACAGAAAACATTCTAAAATATTAGCTGTTAAATTTTTAATAATATAAGCGGAAAATTAGATCAGATTTAATCGAGGAGGAAAAATTAGTGAGTAAATTTTGATTTTTTCTTTATTTTATGGCATTAGTTTTATTTTTATCCAGCCATTACTGCTATGGAAATACATTTTGCTTTAGGTTTATTCGATTGTAAGTTTATTTTTTTGGCTGTATTTTCATCTCTTGTCAAAAATGGGAAAGAAGAACGACTTGAGTGATTTCGGCTTATATCTGAGATATTAATTCAAACTTCAAGGTATTTACAAATATATTAAAAATTAACACTACTCACAATTAACTAGTTAATTTAAATAGTTTTGAAGTTTCAAGTACCAGAAGATTTTGCCAATCATCAATTCCTGTAACTATTCTAGTTTGATATATTAACAAGTTATCGAGAAATATCTTGCAATTAAAACATATCTTAATAAATATTTTTATAAAAATCTGGTTGTTAGTATTTTACAAATATGAGTAATAATGAATATATGACCTAACCTTACGTGTTACCAATATTGTCATCAATACTGGTGGTGTTGCGTAACTTGATAGTCGAGAATGTGTCGAGAATTTCTAAACAGTTTTTGAAGCATGAAGAATCAAGAATTAATAAATAATTTTTTGCTGAAATTTTCTTCAGCTTTTTTCAATATGCTGATAATCACATTTAATTTGCTTATATAGTTTCTCAGAAGATTAAATTTGTTCACCATTTTTATTTTAAATTATATCATTAGTGAAAATAAATTCATTTATAAAGATTTTTGAATATGTGCTTAGCCTTTAGACCACTATCAAGTTAGGCAACAGACCACGTCATTTAAATTAAAATCTACATGGAATTTTAAGCCTACATATGAAACTAAAGTAAGGAATTATTGAAATAAGGAAGAGAATAAGCTGAAAATGAATCATATTCGATCAAAAATAGATATGAGGCATAAAAAAGCAAAAATAGCATCATCGAATCTTTTTTTCTGATATTGATTGAATTTGTGAACTACTGAAATACTGAAATAAGTGGGTCATGTATTATATATGCTAAACATATATCTCTCTTATCGAATCATACTTACAACCTTTTTTTCTTTTGAAATTCATCCACAGTTTTTGCTGTCAATATGAGTGATGCAAAAAAAAAAAAAATCATCGACTTGTTAATATTTCTCGTGAGGTAACTAATTAACAATGCATTTTCATCGATGGAATGATATGATAACCGAATAATAATAAATAAATAGATAAATAAATAACTAAATAGATAAATGAATAAATACTTTTGTCAAAATGCAAAAAATGAATGACATGAAAATAAAATTATGTCATGCATAATAATGAATGGATAATTTAAATTTTCCATCAAAATATTGAATAGATTTCAATAAATTTGTTAAATTAACCAATGGTCATGCCATTGGTGATGTCTTTGCTTATATTTCTCGTAATTTCTTTTCTCATTTGTGTAATCCTCATTTATCCATTTTTTTTTGTCTCAGCAATTTTTCCCCACTGCTTCATCAAGTATCATTTTTCTGATAAAATATGCTAGCAATTTGATAAGACCATAATAGCATTTGGTGGAATTTACCATAATATTAATTCCACTAAATTTACATTGATTTAACTTTCAAATTTTTTGTATTTTATAAAATTCTAAAATTCATCAAACGCTCGTCATTTACCATAATGTTTGTAGACATACTACGTTTTTCTTTTACAAAGAATACTTCAATTGTGCACTTAATTTGGATCTTTCTCAGATTAAAGCATAATTTTGCAAATTTAAATTTATTTTATAAAACATATATTGCACTACGTAGTCATTTAACGATCAAAAGAAGCTGATTTTTTTTAATTACCTGATATTTTTTCAAGAATAGTCTAAATTTAATAGCTAAAGTGTCTAGTTTATTTTTGCTTACCAGAAACACTGAAGATTAGTAGAATGATATTTTTATTAATGCGAAATCATAGAATAGAGGGTGATATAATTGATTGCAATGTAAGAATTTGTACTTGCCAATTAAAAATTAATTAGTTTAAAAGCAAAAGCAGAATTATAATAATGAAATAATTGCAAAAAAGTTCTGAAAAAAAATTTTTTTTAACAGATGAATTGTTGAATTACAAATAGTTGGAAGTGGTATGAATGTCATCATTTAATAAAATAGTTTAATTCATGCCATGTCACCTGTCAATTTTCATATAATCTATTAATGTTTACTTTTCTATGATAAGAAATATTTACGTGAGATTTTTTACGTGAGAAATATATTTAAGTTATATTTGAAAATAAATGGAAAGAAAAAGTAAATTAGAAAAAAAAAACATAAAAATATAATGCGCATTTGAAATTGTTAATTATATTATCAAAAAGTTGCCAAAAACAGATATAATTTTATTGCTTGAAAAACGCGAAAAATTTTCTCATTTTGCTTGTTAATTTAAGCTTCTTATAAAAATTAAAATTTTCAGTGTTGTTTCGATCGGCAATCAATGACAAACTTCTATGGTTGCTATGGTTTATGATTTAAAGAAAATGTTGATACCATTACTATTGCCAATGATAAGTTTTATAACATCATTGCTTGGATTGATATTATTGATTACTGGATATGGTTTAAATCATTCAACGATAGCATTTCTAAGTTTTGGCTTTACTGGTTTAATCACTTCAATGATTGTTTGGACAATACGGCCTAAAACATTAATGACGTGGCCAAAATGTTTGAAACGTTTCTTCAATCGACAGCGATGTTTTAACAAATCCAATAATGTGGAAATATTAGATCGTGATAAAGCTGAAATGATCATGCGAAATATTCGCGGTATTCCATATCTTATCCAGGTAATTATATATAAATGCATCATTTATCACTTAATCAATAATATATAGTGATAATGTGTTATTATATTGAATATGATTATCATATTCTATGGAACTATCATATTTTTTAAAATTTAAAATTTTAATTACTTTTTCTAATTATCCATGATAAGCTGATATTTCTAATTTTAGGCTATTCAATATAGTATGGAAACAACATATTATACAGCAATGATGGCGGAAAAAAATAATGGTAGCATACCGACAACTTCCGTTATACATACTGCTCCCAAATGTATTAGTGTTATCGATTCCGATCATGAAGATTGCTGTTCGAGTTATTCATTCTTATTTATTTGCTAAATTAATCAATTATAATCATAAATGCTACACTGATAATTTCATGTAAAATACTGATTAGTAATTATCTTCCGAAAAGGGATGCATTAATTATTCATTTGATGCGTTACATCTATTTCAATTCCTTTTAGCTGTAATTTGCAGCTTTAATTTTCTTTTTTTTCATTTTTCTTTTCTTCATCTTTCTTTTTCTTTCTTTTTGTTCATTTTTATCAGTTAATTAAGATTGATTAAATTAAACCCAAACAGTAAAACACTTATTTTGCATGTTAAAAATTATTTTGCATTGCAAATAATACAGAGAGTTTTTTTCTTGATTTTTCTATTTTTCATTTTTAATTCCTTCAAAATATTCGAAGGTTTTTTCACATAATACCATGCAATAAATATGTATGTTAAATAAATATTAAGAAATTTTTTAATTTTTAAATTTAAAAATTTCTTAATCATGATGTTTTATTCAAATATTTTCTATAATGTCGATTAGTCCAATAAATAATGGATGATTTGCTTGAATTTCAGCTGAATTTATTTCATGAGATTTATGTGAAATAATTGAATCGAATTTCAAGCTTATTTAAAGGCCCTGAAATGACATTATCAAAAGAGCAATCAGCAGTTCGTGTAATTGAAACGATCGAAGAATGGATTCCAACCGGATTATCATCCTGGAATAATACCCAATTGAGGCTTTCCATAAAAAGTAATCCTGAAGCTGGAATCAATGTTAGCTTTTTGTTTTTTCTTTGCTCAAATCCCGATTGTACTTATTTATCACTTCTGAAATTGATTTAATATCTTTAAAATAGTAGTGGTACGGATTTATTGATATTTTATGACATATTGAATCATATTTTTTGATGTTAAAAAATTTCTCCAAGATTTCCCGAAATTATGACCATAATTTTAAACTCTTGCTTGTTCATTTCAGGTATTTCCGTACAGTGAAGTAATGCCACGACCAAGTGCTGATCCGGTCTTAGAGTTGCTTGAAACACCTGGAGAAATTGCATCAAAAGATAACGAAAAAAGAATTTCCCTAAAAAGGTTAGCTTCAAAATATTTTGAAATGATATGTAATTCTTCGGCAATCGTTTTCTGAAGTTAGGAAAGATTTTTCATTCTGCTTCTTTTAAACCAGCATTTTTATTTATCAATATTTTTATTTATCAATATATTTATCAATATTTACCAATATACAAAAAAATTCTTATTGTCAAATCATATTTCACCTACAAGCTTTTCATCTCCTTTTATTTAACTCATTTGAATAATGAAGACAAAAATTTTGTATTTAATATAATATAAATGTCTTTATAGTTTCGATAATTAGGAAATAGATGGAATATCGATTGAGTCATCCAATCATACAGTATGTCAAAATGACGTATAACACTTTCATATTTGAATAATTGCATATTTTTAGATATGAATTGAAAAATAATTTTCAACTGCGTTATATGGCAATGAGTAGCGATTTCTTGCATAAATTCAATGAATCTTTTCGATCCTTTCCACATTGATTGGGAATTTTGTTGGGTTTTATCACAAAGCTAATTGAATCACTTTGATAATCTTTTATTGTTCATTGTTTAATGATAAATAATCAGACCTCAATCCATATTTTATCATAGTATGCTGCCCTATCTAGGCGGAAAAAACAAAAACTTGGCCTCCTAGTAAGACAGATAATTATTCTCCGTTTTATTGATAATCGTAATTATCAAAATATATGGGATATTTGATGAAATGAGCCTATTATTTTAAAAAAATGAGGTATAAAATGAAATAAATTTAAATATCCTTTATAATCTATCAGTTTTGCTGACCTTTCTGATTTAATTCTTTTAGACAAATAATACCATCATTTTTTTTATGAATAAATTGTCAAATTTGATAATATGATTTATTTCAATTCGAATTTCACAGCATTTTAATCATTGTGAAAGCGATGAAATTTTAAATTTTAAAAGAAAAGGAAAAAAGTTTGATTAGTTGCCATTATGTGGCTATGGTACAGTCATACAAAACATATATGCAGTAATTGGGAATGACAGAAGTGAGAAAAATGGTAAAATGAAAAAGGTTAATATTTTTCAATAACTTATCCTTCCTTCATTTTTTTCTTTGTATGTACTTTTTCAAATTTTCTATTGCAATTATTTTTTTGTTTAATGTTATCATTTTAATGGTAAGTGATAACGTTGCCTTGCACAAGAATTGTATATGTATTGTTGTTAAAATGGAGAAATATTTGCTAATTGATAAAAGTTATAATATTATATGTGTTATCATGCCATTATTCATTTCAATTAACAAAATTTATTGCTTCAATTTACTACCATAATAAAGTGCTATCCATTTATGATATTATTACCTTTGATTATCAAGCTTTATTTACCATTTAAGTATTCTTTTTACCTCATAGGCAACTCAAATTTACCTAGTAATGTAGTCTATGATAATAGTTCTTATATACAATTCATAACTTTTCATCTCTCATTTCCAATTTTCATAATCTTTTGATACTATCGAACTGCTGTTATTCTTAATCAATAAAAAAAGAAGAAAAAATAGATAGCAAAAAAATTTCATGCAATCTAATTTGAATTTAAAATTTCGAATCATCAAATTATTGTTAATTATGTAGAAATGTATTGGCTGTTCAAATTTGTATATTAAAAAAATTTTAAAATTTGCAATGTTACTCTTCCGAATTATTTATTAATATGCTTATTTGTTTGAAGCAATTTTGAAAATATCGTATTTTTTGTTCTGCGGTAATTTCAGAGACTTTAATTCACTGTCATTTCGAGATTGTTTTTTTTTTGCGGAGTTTGAAGTTTCTTATTTCTTTTTTTGTTATTGATGACTAAAAAATACTGTAGCTACAAAAAAAGCAGTGCAACGAGTTGAAGCTGTAGATATAAATGAAGATTAAGATTTCATTCAAATATAATTTGCTAATTTAAACCATTTTTTGCACCACTCATATTGTGACTTAACAAAATTTTCATCAGCAAAAAGTTTTATTATCAAACAATGAAATGAAAAAGGCGAAGAGCAAAAAAAAAGCAAAATATTTTTTTTTTTATAAAAAACAAATGGCAATGATGCGATGATTTAAAAAGATAGGGCAGTTAAAAAAAAGAAAATTGATTGGCAATGATTTAAAAAGATAGGCATTAAAAAAGGAAAATTTGAAGAAAAGAATTAAAACAAATCACAATTTCTTTTCAAACTTTTTCATTAAAAATTTTGCTGAAAACTTAACTCTGTAATGATAAATGAAATTACCAATAGTTTGTATGGCATTTTATAAAAGATGCATAAAATAGCTTATTTGGGATGAAAAATTTTGTTGAAATTATTCGCGAATCATTTTTGAACTTTACGCATTGACAAACATATAAAATTAGGAAGAATCTAAGAATGTGGAAAAACAATTTGAAAAAGTGAAAAATGCTTGGCTAGCAATACTAATTTAATTGAATTATGTGATAGAGAAAATGACAAAGTTAATAATGTCTTCAAAAATAAAATAATTGGAATAAAAAACAAAGGTAAGATGAAATTTCATACTCTCAATTTTTACATTCTGCTGGTAGCAAACAGTTCATCTCTTCATGTGCATCACCGCTACAAATGCAATCAGCTTCTCCAAGGCAATTCCTGAAATAATTATATAATCCGTTTAAGCCAGGAAAGATTTAACCTGACGATTTACTGAAAATGAAAATTTCAAATTTAAGATTTAATATTGTAAACCATTTATTTTTCAAGGAAACACAACTATCCCAGATATTTAATAAAATATTTAAAATATAAAACTACAAATTTGATACAGACAAGAGAAGTTTACCTGGATCGACGTTTAACATGGTGATAACATGTTCTTTCACATGTCGACCATTGGTACCACTCAGCCCAGTGACATCTAACCTCGATGAAGATACCGGGTGAGATAGCTTGACCGGAAGATGTAAGAAGATAACCGGAAACACTTGGTGCAGGACCATAACCCGGAGCACTTGGTGGTAGAAGGTAACCAGGAGCACTTGGTGGAGGAATGTAGCCAGGAGCACCTGGTGCAACACCATAATCTGATGTACCCGGTACAAAAACATAACCAGGAACCCCTGGCATAATACCATAACCAGATGTGGCAGGTGCAGGAAAGTAATCCGGAACACTTGATGGAGGAACATAACCAGCAGCAGCACTTGGTGCAACAGCAAAATCCGGTGTGCCAGGTACCGAAACGTAATCGGAAGGAATTATTGCCGAAGTGTAACCAGGTGTAACAGATGGAGGGACATAACCAGATATAGCAGATATAGGTTGAGCAGGTGTAGGAACACCAGGAGCTGGAACGTAGCCAGTTACAGTAGGTGCAGGAACGTAACCAGTTACAGTAGGTTCAGGAACGTAACCAGTTACAGTAGGTGTAGGAACGTAGCCGGCTGCAGTAGGTGTAGGAACGTAGCCAGTTGCAGTAGGTGCAGGAATGTAGCCAGTTGCACTAGGTGCAAGAACATAACCAGGCGGACAAATTCCACCTGGACCAGGTTTAACAACAGCACCAGATAAACCTGGTGTATAATAAGGTCTGGTTGCAAGAATACATATTGATGGATAAGTAACTGTTGCACAAGGTGCATGTTCGCTACAACTCTTATCCTCACGTGAATCACCATAACAATGACCAGTACAACTGGAATCATCCTGCTCTGTAAAAACGAATTAAATAATTAATCAAATCAGTATACGGTATCATCATAAAATATTTGTGATCATAGTCCATTGATTACAGTACGCTTAGTAGGTATTTTGTGTGATCATATTGATTGATAGCTTTGTTGCAACATTTCAGAACAACGAAACATACCATAACCAAGTCTTAAGCACATTTTTGTTCGTGAACTACGACCAGTACCACATCGATGACTACATGGTGTCCAACTTGACCATGAGGTCCATTCACAACATAATCGTTCTAAGCATACTGCACTTTCCTATAAATTTCAGACATAAAAGCATAAAAACAAAGAGGAAGAAAAATATTATAGGAAGAGAGGAAATATTTTCATATCCTGTAAAAAATTATTTCAAAATTAATTTTGATACCTATCTATTTATTTTCATTCTGTATTAATTAACTCATCTAATAAACGTATTTGTCATCATGAATTTCTAGGGATTTAAAATTTAATTAATTATTTGTATTCAAATTAATTTAAAGTTACTGAATAAATATTATTTCGTGTCGTATATGTTCATCTATTTTTTGATTGTAAAATAATGAGCGCACCATACTGTTAGGAATTGGGATGAATTTAATTTAATTCAAGGTGAAAATAGAAGAAATAATATTTAATTCAAAGTGAAAATAGAGGAAATAAAAAGAGTGCTGATAAGTTAGTTAAAATTTTCCTTAATCATTAATAATTGGATAGGTGATTTTGTATGGAAAAAGTCTATATCCTTAAAAGCTAAATTGTGTAAATATATCGCTGTCCTATTAATACTTTAAAAATAATAATTTGAAATACCTCAATCTTTATCTAACATCTGAAGATATGCAAAATATAAAACGCTGGAAATTGTTTAATAGTCTATATTTATGCACTGATACTTCTGAGAATTGATATGATATCTTTTGTTTTAATTATAACTCTAAAAAAAAGAAACAAAATTAATTTCTTACCGATTTTTCTCCTTTACAACTATCAGCTGCTCCATCCTCAAATGAGCATTCTCGATGTCGTACCCGTTCACCAATTCCACAATCTTGGCTACACCTTGACCATGGTGTCCATTTTGTCCATTGTGGACAACTTAAACCAGTTTCGCAGTACTGTACATCCTACAACGCAATAACTTATCATATCTAGTGTCTATCACACAGGTTTGATAAGATTTCTACCTTTTCGAATTCCAACGAATTTCATTCCTGTCCCACTGTCTCTTCAGAACAATTAGCAATTTTATCACTATTTAATTTAAGTTGATTGTCGTATTTCATTTTAAAATGATTCGTGAGAAATGGAAAAGGTACGAATGATACTTCTATAGGAATGAATGAGTTGAAATGATATTATCAAACTTTTAGATTCCTTTAATTGTAAAATCATTGATATTGTTGGCATCCGAAATAATATCACAAAAGAAAACCTCAGCACTTCCTGGGCAATCATCACCAATACAACTACGATATCGCTGTTGTATTCCACTACCACATGTTACCGAGCATTTGGACCATTCTTCCCATGTTGACCACATTTCACATCGACCAGCATGACATGGCATCACTTCCACTCGTTTTCCTAAAATAACAATTTAATTTCATCAACAATTTAGTTTAAATTTGAATAAATTTCACTTCTTTAAATATTATTGAAAAATTCAATTCATCACAGCTAACCTTTTTATGTGTAATTTATCGGTAAAAATGTTGGCTAATTTTTCTATTCATTGATGCAAAAATTTCCGGAAAATATGCTAATTTCAAGTGATATTAATGAATAAAATTACCGGGACAGAAAATTCCATGACATAAACGCCTTCGTGTTGAAATACCAAAATTACAGCTTGCTGAACATGCTGACCATTCACCCCATTCTTGCCATGTTGCACATGCCTGTTCTATGCACATATTCTGCTCACTACTTTCACCTTAAGAAAAATTTCTTTTTACCATTTTTATTACATTTATATCAAAATGTAACGATATGATAGGAAGAAATTTTAAAGCAATCAACTTTTGAACAATTCATTTTTTTTCAATAAGAAAAAAAAATTTGCTACGTATTTGCCATAAACTTTTATGCGATAATTTTTGTCCTAAATCTTTCTGAATGCATTGTATTTAGAAATGATTTGAAGAAAATTGATTACCGATGCAATTCCGTCCCATGCAAACACGTTCCCTAATGATAACTCCTTCTCCGCATGATACCGAACAAGCTGACCATTCCTGCCATTGTGACCATTCTTCACATTCATCATGATAACACTGAGTTTCTTGATAAGCATCTCCTGTAAGTTAAATTATTTGAAACAATTTCTTGCGCTTATTGTTGATCAATCTTTCACACAAACCATTTATGGTATCTTATCGCACAACTGGAATAATATCAAAGCACAATAACACCGATGACATAAATTTCAAGAGGATTTTAATTAAAAAAAAATACCCAGAAGATGCTATTGACCACTTAAAAATTGACAATTTAAACCATATCCTTTAATGAGTAAAAATAATTTTATTTATAATTTAACAAAATGATTTAATTATCCGTTAAAAGGATGGAATTCTTTCAGAATAGCCAAAATCTATTATGAATTTAGCCGAGAGATTGGAATTTTGCAGCCACCAAAAAAAAAATGGACATTTCACCGAATGACACGTATTATAAAAATAATAATTTGTTTCCAAACCAATGCATTTATCGCCATCACAAATACGTGCACGTCTTTTGGTGCCAGTACCGCATGTTACTGAACAATGTGACCACGGCTCCCATTGACTCCATCCTGGGCATGATACCGCTTGACATTCTGTTATCTGTAAATGATAAATGATAATATTGTTTATCAAAAAACGCAACTTTATAAATGTACTACGATGCTGTAATATCTTTATATCATGCATGAAACGATATTACAATTCGGATACTATAAGAAGTTTTTATAACATGTATGGTGTATTTACAGGATAGTACTGTAGCAGAAATTTTGATGCTACTTGGTAATTGTTAGAAGCTATCATACTTATTTGTTAAATATTGATTATATAGATTGATATTAATTGAACGACAGAATGTAAACATTTATGAAAAAAATCAAAAAGCTATGGAAAATAAATGAATTGACCTAGAAACTATTGTCGATAGAAATAACTATTGTCGAGAAAGCCAAAATTTTGTGATATAAAATTATTCACACGAATAGAGATTTTGTATAGCTGACAATTAATTAAACTAAAGAAGTTCTCCTCCACAATCTTTCATCAGTGTTAAATTTAATTCTTGTCACACGTCGTATTGCTCGAATGTCATTTACGCTTATTGTCCATCAACATTTCCCGCCACTGCATGTTCTCTGTCTTTTTTTTTTTAATCTATAGCAACAAATGTAGTTAATCCTTTTTTCCCATCTTTTTTTTTTCTTTTTCTTTTTTTTCTTTTCATCACATCACATTGTCTAACTGTACGATTGTCTCTCGTAAGTCTGTACGATTTTTTGTGACTTATCACACGTAGCTTTATGTGTGGTTTCTATTGATTTAATATATATCTAAGTGATTATTGTTGTACCGCAAAACATTGGGTATATATATAGTTACGTTGAACACTATATATAGATATACACGGACCAGGTGGTACTCTCGCTAACCCAACTAAGTGTATACTCCTTGCTCGTAACAAACTAACTCGATTAACTCTCTATCAATCAATCGTTAGAAATTGGAGAAATTGGAAAAAAGTTTATTCGAAGGAATAAACTTTTTCAATTATAATTGTCGTGGAATACCAATCTGCTCTCTCAAATCAAAAAAAAAAAAATATTTTTTACGATAAGCTCTGCTTTTATGTTACTATAACCAAATTTAAATTTTTTAATAAATTAATCTATTCTTTTTTAATATTTGCATTCTTTTCGTTATGTTAAACAGCAAATTAGTAGTAAATTTTCTAAATTTAAGGATAGAAAAAAAATCACCAGTCAATATGTTTGAATAAAATTGAATGAAATATAACGCACCTCGTAATCAGGACCGGTACAGTAACCCACACCAAGATAACAGTAACGCGATCGTGCCTTTTCACCTGTTCCACATGTTGCTGAAAGTAACTGATAATATCATTTTCATCACTATTACCATATTTATTATTATTATTTTCATTAAAAATTATTTATTTCTTTGCTATTTAATGTGCCAAAAAAGAACTTACCAGTACAAGTACTCCATGCAGTCCACTCAGCCCAGCTTGCTACGCAGGGAATAATTTGATGACATGTACGCCATTCAACATTTTCACCTATGCATTTTTCTGTATTACAAATACGATACCGCTGTACCATGCCAACTCCACATGTTGCAGAACAAAATGACCATTCTGACCAGCTTGACCATACTGTAAATTTAGCAATTTAGTTACACACTACAAAGTTACAAAAGTTATCGATTACTACAAGCAGGCTGTAAAATACCGCTTATTGGTGCTTGAGATGGTGGTTGACCATCAATTTGCACCTGAGTTTGTGGTTGACCATCGAGTGGTGCCTGAGGTTGTAGTTGACCATGAACTGGTGGTTGAGGTAGTATTTGACCATGAACTGGTGGTTGAGGTGGTATTTGACCAGGAACTGATGGTTGAGGTGGTGTTTGGCCATAAACTGCTGGTTGAAGTGGTGCTTGACCATAAACTGATGGTTGAGGTGGTTCTTGACCAGGAACTGATGGTTGAGGTGGTATTTGACCATAAACTGATGGTTGAGGTGGTTCTTGACCAGGAACTGATGGTTGAGGTGGTATTTGACCATAAACTGCTGGTTGAAGTGGTGCTTGACCATAAACTGATGATTGGGGTAGTTTTTGACCATAAACTGGTTGTTGAAGTGGTGCTTGACCATAAACTACTGATTGCGGTTGCACTTGACCATAAGTTAGTGGTTGGAGTTTTGACTGAGCAGACGTTGGACATACTGTTGGACATTCATCGTCGATTCCAAGTTGTTGTCGAGTCTAAAAAGAAAATCATTTAACTGATAAATATGTGCAACGCTTTGAGGCATATTACGTGATAGTTTATCTATCACGTTTATCTAAGTACCTTACTAAAGTTGAAAATGAGAATAAAGAATCGTAAAGCCTAATCAATCAAAGGGATCGATTGATATTGGATGATCTCTCTTTCCGAAAAATCAATTTAATTAATAAACGCTCTGGAAAAAGTTTCCAGAGTTAACAATAACGTTAAATTTTATGTTTAGCATCTCCGATTGATTTAGCTTTATCATACAATAATTTTGAATTTTATGATAAACCTGAATCTATACATATATATTGAATTATTTAGTTCCTGTTTCGACTGATCACATACATTTATAGAATATCTGATAAGATATGATATCCATCAAAAATTCAAGCATGAATCGAAGAATAATTTATTTCGAGGTTTTTTTTGTTGCAACGAACCTGTATTTTCTGATCTCTGGTCATATTTACGGATTTTTGACGAAAATAATCTTGCCAATAGCAACATGATTGTGCCATTTGTTTACTGTGTGCACTCATTATTCTCTTATATTCATCACTAAAAATGCAAAATTTGTGTATCATAATCCGATACAGTATCCTAAATAGAAAATAAAAGATAATGATTATTTATTAAAACATGAAAAAGACACTTACGAAGTGACATCAGGATGCTGATATGGATATGGTGGATATGATATACTGATATCAATACTTGGAGCGTAACTGGTAATTTTAACACCGTATCCTAATGTATGATGATAAGTACTGCTAGGTGAGCATCGTCTACGCTGAATGTTACGACCATATTCACAGAGTTGTGATCGAACTTGTCTACCTAAAAAGATACATAATAATTATACAATCTTCCATTTATTGTACAATTAAATCGATTTTTCTATCCTCTAAAATTTCTGCAGATACACTTTTTATTTCACATAATTTTTTTTAATTGTTTGAAAAATTTATTCATCCTAAAAACTGGAATTGAAAAGATTATAAAAAAAATTAAGTGATCTTTAATATAATATTAGTTATGATGGTTTACATGATCGTGGTGAACATTCGGACCATGCTGACCAGGGACCGGTAGCTTCAATTGGCCTATCATAGCCAACATCTGAATTAGAAATATGTTAAAAATCCGTAAAATTTTTTCAAAAAATAAATGATTCCATATAGTGCATTCGCTAATATCTTATGAGATACACACCAAATAATCGAACAGTGTTTGAAATGTTTCAAGTAATTTCATTCGCTTAATTGTATCATACTATTTAATCAATTTACCGCGTTTCTTTTTCGAAACTGCATCGGTAGAAGTTGTGAAATCGGTAAAAAGCGGTGGAAAAGGATCGAATTGATGACAATCGGCAACAATTTCCAACGATCGTATCATATCCAATTTCTTCAACGGTTTTTCTGGCACTAAAGCAACCTGAAGCAGGGAACTTTTTCAAGATATGTATGATAAGAAAGAAATTTCAAATGAAAGAATTTGATATGTACAATCAGATTTTTGCACTTTACGATTGTGTTCCAATTTAATTTTTATTTCAAAATCCATCAAACATATCCATTTTCATAATCTTTAGGAGTAACAAATATGAGCCTTATAAATGTATTTAATCGAGATATATTCAATAAAGTGCCTTGCAGAATAATATTAAAATATGAACTTGTAAAATTTAATGCCTTGTTATAATTATTTACCTATCACAAAGAAGTATACTTACATCTTGATCAATGCTATTTTTGCTGAACAAATAACAAATATGATCTTTGTCGCGTTCATGTAAATAGTAAAACATCACTGAAAATTAGTTCAGATCAATTCAATTACAAATTAAAGTACGATTAAAGTACTTTTGAAAACACATAAGGTCAAAAAGTGTGTTGTAAATTGTAAATTAAAATTATTTCATAATCTTCGATTTTGCGTCTAATCTGGAAATTCTTTTGCAATTTATATTTACAATTTGAAAATTATTTTTAAAAAAGTAAAATTAACAAGTGAAATTATCATTAATTATTCATTCAAGAAGCTAAGAAATTTTTTTTCAATTATTATTTTATTGTAGATTTGCTATGATTAAATTCCACTTCTTTTGTAATTAAAAATGAGTAATTAGGAAATTTATCATCACCACCTAATTTTTTTTTTTTGTAACAACATAATATAATAATAGTGTAAATTAAATGAGATGAAAATGTGAAAATTTATGAAAATGGCAATTATTTTCGTAAATTTTCGCATAACTAGTAATTACATTTTATTCATTATTTGATTCATTAATTTTATTATCATTTTTTGATCATAAGTTCAATTTAGATAAGAAAAGCGCTAGTGTAATACAACAACTAGCAGTACTCCACTTCTTATATCGATGTTAGAAGGAAATTTCGAATCTTAATTAATTTCTTTAAATTTTGATCAATTATTTTTTAACGTACCTGCAACACATCTCGGATACAAATCAATACAGTTCCGACGGCATTCGCTGGCTGAATAAAGCAAAAGTCGTGCAAATGGTTGAATACCCATAAACGCTGTATTATTATGCATTCGAAGACAAAGTGATTCAATCTAAATAAGGTAAGCAATGATGTTACAAATAAAATAGAAAAATAAAAAATTATTTTTCCAATTTCTAATCAGTTATAATAGCCGGGTAGAAATTCGGATAAGGAATAAAATTAACACTAAAGTAAGAGCTTAGAGAGATATATTTAATTTCATACTTTAAATAAATTGGCTTCTAAAATAGTCATATGTTGAGAAAAAATTTTCTGCTTAAAAAATAAAAATTTATACCTGAAAAATTGAAAGGTGAAATTTAATTTTTTGATATGCATAAATAGGTTTACAAAGTATTTAAAGAAATTTATAAAAAAAAAAATAAAAAAGGAAACCCATATTCAAAAGGACTTTATTTTAATTATATTGAAAAAATAAATAAATAGAACTTTTCTTTTGCGAAAAATCTTTTACTGTAATTTTACTTATTCTATAAGTTAATTATCATATTGTTTTTATTAAATAAATGTTTTCTGTTTAGCTATAAAAAAGAAAATATTTGACATTTCTCTTTGTCTTTCTTTCCCTCCCTCTCTCTCTTCCTTTCTTAAACTGTAATTAGCTTAGAGATCATTTAACTTATGTCAAATTAAGCTTACTTCTGTAACATTAAACATCGATAAAGTAGTGTCCACATGCGTTTCATTGGCTTTTACTGGAACAGAAGTTATATTACTACCGTTCGTTGAATAATTCCCTGCTAATCCTAATCCTGCAAAAACAATGAAAAAAGGTTTTTTTGCTAAAAGTTGCAAGCATTTCTTTTTCAAAATTTGAAATTTGAAAAATTTTGACAAATTAATGAGACTTTCTAATAATTATATTTGCAAAAGAATCTCATCAAATCCTTATTAACATTATTTCAAAATATTGTATAATATAATTGCTAATTTTCTCCTGAACAATTACTCTGAATTAAAAACAAAACATTTTTTACTTTTTTACTATCCATATTTACCGTATTCTGTACATTTACCGTATTTTTCTGCTGTTAATTCAGATAATCTAATTTTTAAAATAAAATAGGAATTTTTTTTTGCAAAAAAAGAAATGATCATAAAGCATTTTTGATTAAGTTTCAGTACACTGGTAAAGCGTAATTGAAAAACATTCTTTTTTTATTTGTAAATAATACATCGTTAATCGGTCAGCTGTTTATTTGAAGAAAGAAATGAAAACAAAAATTGGCGAATTTATGGCCGATACATTTTTTAACGATGTGAAATAATTTTAAAATATTCCACCAAATTTTTTATTTTCAAAAATTTATTCAATAAAACGATATAGCTAAACAATCACAAAAATGAATACAGATTTTTTCTCTTTTTCTTTTGGGATTGAACTAAAAGAATGAAATATGATAGAATGAATGAATTTCTAAATTTTATAATTAATCTTGATAATATATAAATTTGATTTTTATATGTTTTGAAAATATCAGGATAAATTTTGGGAAAATTTGTCTCCCTGAATAAAAATATAATTTTTCAAATTTTCAATCATTTTCGGAAAGCTTTACAATTCTAAAATTACTGGAAGTAATTCCGATTTCCACTTTTTCATTAATAAACGTTAATTGATACCTTAATAAGCTCAGCTCTTTTTAAAACATTGAATACAAGCTTGTTTAGATAACAATTAACACTTACCAATGCCTTATTGGAATTTCTAAATTTTGAAAAGCACAGTCTCAACTATTAAAATAAGTAACAAATTAATGTCTTAATCTATCTTCTTGCTCCTAATTTCAACTAAACGTTTAACTTCTTTTTTTCATGGATATTTAACAGTCAGTTGTTTCAAATTCAATGTATGATGAATCGACATTACAGCATTTAAAACTAGCCATTTCTGTGCGATGTAAAGCAATCAAAATCTCTGCTAGATTTCCGGAAATTATTTAGGATTTTTTTTTTCTTTGGAAACTATTTAAGATCGTTTTTTATTTTTCTTAGTTTTATTTTTAAAGAAAATGTATCATTTTTTATTCATAGCTTCTCGAATGTTTAATTGTATAATAGATAACTAAGTTCTAGCTCAATTAAACTGCGAGCCCGAAATTTTGCATATATAATATTTCGGAAGGCACTTATGTCTAGATTTCCCGAAAAAGAATGACAAATTTCTGAATTGATAAAATTTTTTTGATATTCATAGTTTTCTAGAAATACCTTCGGAGAACGGATTTATTGTGAATTATGTAATTGGATCGCTGATTATTATAATAAAAATTTCATCAAATCAAAAGTACTTGTACTAAATTTCATTCATGTATACGGTATTTATAACTTTTTTTTTTATTTTAATGATCAGAACGGTTGCAATTGTAGCAAAAATAATAACAATAATGAATGACAGATTTTTCGTCTAGATTTTCGGAAAAAGAATGACAAATAATGGAAATAAAGATATAATATATATAAGACAGTAATACTCAAAATAGGAAAAGAAGGAAAGGGTGAGAAAGAAACGTTGGAAGAGATGATAATTTAAATAACGAACCATCGATGAACGAAAGAAACGGTGAAAAAAAGGTGAAGGATACCATCAGAATCCACATTATCTTGCCTTCACGTTTTACCATTTTTACGTAGCTTCGCAACGCTACGTCCAGTATGTTTGAAACTATCGTTTGAGCTCAGCTAATACCTCTTATCATTCTTAATTATAAGTTATCTTTTGAAAAAGAAAGTTTTTTCTGATTGAAACTCCGCCTCTGTCTGCTCTTTCATTTGTTTAATTTTTTGTTCCTTTTTTTAATTCAAACACATTCGTTAAATTACTAACCAGAACACGAGAATTGTTAGTGACTAAAAAGATTTTAATAGTAATGATAACAGTTCATATTTCCAATACTTGATCTGTTTTTTAGAAATAAAAAGTTAACAATTAACAAATTTATCAGTGAAAGTTAATTTTATTTGTTCACTTTTCAAATGAGTTTTCCAATTTTATTTCCGTGACATTTTCCAATGATTCCTTTCATTGGTTTCAATCAAAATTCCTGTTATTATTAATTAAAACTATTACTGATACAAGAGCAAAATTAATTGAATTTCAGGCACCATTTGTATAAATATATGTCACCACCACAAGGCACAATATCCGATACGCTGAATAAAATATAGTTTGAGTTCTCTCATTTATAACAATTATCCATTTCTTTGCTTCTTCTGAAGATAGATCGCATCTATTTATCGAAATATTGCTGCTTTTGAAGTTAATCCTTTATTACTCATGATTGAAACTGATTATCCACGTGATACCATTTTTTTTTCATACGACGAAAGAGGAATCACCGCTGTATGTTGGAATCACTATAGACTATAGATGATACTGACTTTAGCCGTTTAATATATCATCGTCAATCCCACTTTAATAGCAGAGACTTACAAGATTTTTATGTCTTAAAATTCCTCTTATCAAATTTTTGATTGTTAAAAACTGCGAATCTTCGCGAAACCTCTCGATTTATTCTCACAAATTCATTAAAGATATGAGAAACAATTTAAAATTCTGTCTCGTTAATGTCAAGTTTTTGAAATTGTAATTCGAGAAGTGACGATGCATATCACTTCGCCTACGCATATCTAGGAACCTTTTTTAATGTTTCCTTCCGGAATATTTAGATAACTCTCCGGAAGAGATTTGGTTGACCTTTTCTACTAAAAATGAGATTTTTTTAGTTAAAATGAGGATAAGATGAACGATTGTAAAATGTTCCAATTCTGATTTTTTTCAAATTCCAGCAACATTCTTTTTATAATTTCCAGCAACCATATTCTCAGTAATAAATTCCTAACAACTGTCGTTCTTTTTGCATGTATTCCAGCCACTAGCACTACGGGGCAACTGTCCGGTAGTTACCGAGAAAAAAAGAAAACCTTTTAGCACCAAAATCTTTTCTAATGAAACAATCACAAACAAGTGCTTATTTGTTTGAAATTTTTTGATATTCTAAGCAGTAAAAAACACTCCATATGTAACTGTAAATGCCATCTCTATTCACTCACGAGTATTTCAATTGCATCTCAGAAGTATAATAATTTAAAACTTAAAAAAGTTGAATCGATACCGCCATCTTCCAGAAGAAAAAAAAGCAAAAAGTAGCTAACAGATCATCTTTACAAAATTAATAAAGCTATGAATAATTTGGCAGTCTAGTAGTATTACTATGTTTTTTCCTTTAGCAAACTATCTACTTCTGAACCAATAACGAAAATTATTATGAAATACATTTGAATATACACGCTAGATGTTACCTTGCTCATTTGCCCTTTATCTTTTTTAGCTGTTCTGACGAATTTCTTAATGAGGCGTGATCCATGATAATGTTTTTTCATCCCGCTTGCCGACAGCAACGTGGAAAGTTAAGAGGGATAAAAATAGAAACTTTATGTAAATCAATCATGTATGTGCAAAGAACGACAAGTTTTTACACAATTTCTATTTTCATTGGTATTAAGCAATTTGAAAACTATACGTTTTCAATTTTTTTTCACATTACCATGCGGCACTAATGAAAAGAAAAGGTTCCTGCATTTTCAAAACATATACACATATATATATATATAGCATAATCGCACAAGCTTACCGAACTATGATGTTGGCTTCGCTCTTGCTACACGGATAATAATTCATCGAAAATAAATTATGTCTTTCGAAAAATTCTGAAACGAGAAAAACAAAGCAAAGCTAATGTTCCATCAACTAACTCTGAATTAAAAGTCATAAATTTCAGCTTTAGGAATCATTTCTAACGTTCATTTCAGTTTTCAAGCGAAGATTTGGATTATAAGTGTAATGGATACCTTGGCTAAGAAATCTCAGCTTTACAACTTAACTGCTTCAGCAACATTATCTCTCACTCTCAGAGCACTGCTCTCTATACTATTAAAAAACTAACATAGCCGACTACAGCCATTTCGAACTTATCAGAATGAGGTCTTTCTTTTATAAAATTGCAGCTATTATCAGAAAATAACTATCCCTTATTAAAAAAAATCATTATACACAATTAACTTAGTTTATTTGGCCAGTTCAGTTCCATTATATTAAGCGGTATTCCACTGTTAATTGTTCCATCAAAGATATAAAAAAAGTGTTGAAAAATAAAAAAGAAAATGTGCATCATTCTCCAACACAGAATAGTCAATAATAAGCTTAAGCTCAACTCTCTATATAAATTTGCAACTTACTTAAGTAGAACTTTGTATCGAGACTAAAACAAGATCAACAAAAAAATAACATACCATTAGAAAATATTTATAAACTGAAATTTACCGAATGAATAGAAGTGCTAATTCTTTCCTGAAATGCTCTTTGTAAAATAAGAAATATTAACAATTACAACGTGAATATTTTGAAAAACACACACCTGTGGTTACCATTAAAACAATTTGAACGTAAGCAAGCATTTCTTATCTAATAACAAAATTTTTAATAAATATGACTAGGTTATTTATAATAACGACGATTTCCTAAGATAAAATCAAATTCAACTGTATCCATCAGAAGAATGAATAGTATGAAATAAAAGCTGCCTTACATTATTTACAGAGAAATTAAAAAAAAAAGGAACTCACTTCATAATATCCACTGCAACGGACACTTCTCATCTACATCGCATTCATCATCGCTTCCTTCGCTGCATATTATCATTCATTATTCAACAATTATTTTTTTTTTATTTTAAAACACTTGCAGATGAAGAAACATCCTAGCCTTATTGACGAAAGAACGAACAACAGAAAAAGCTCTAGTTAGCAATTACATAAGGAAATTACCTCGTTACTTGAATCAACAAGTCAAACCTTGTATCTTCGATTCGACTGAAATTTTAGAGATTTGCCTATATTTAACTTAAAATATACAGAAGAAATACTAGAAACCTTCTAAATGCTTCTTTATGACGTAAAGACACTTGGAATACATTAGACATTTCAAGTCCATCACACTTCTTTTTAATCACCGAATAGTAGTAACGATGAGGAAACGGACACTGAAATTCAATCAAAAGAAATGAATTTTGGCACCAATATAACAAATTCATCAGGAATAATAAACGCTTGTAAAAATATTAACTTTTAAACGTCGTGAAATATTTAACCAATTATATCAAAAAAAAATGAGGAGAAACGACAGAGAGATAATCTTCGCCTCCCTAAAAGAATTTTCTCGAACGAAATGTCAGTGCAGTCAGAAATCTATTATATAAACCTTATATCAATCCTTTCCTGCGAACATTTGTCTCTCAATTCCCCATTTAGAATACTTTCTAATGCTATGGCTCAGAAAGAAGATTAGACATCTTTCAAAGAATGCATGTGAATTCAACCGACGGAATTAACACATTAGATTGCATCCTCAATGTGGAATTTACGTCATCGCCAAACAGTTGAAAAAAAGACTTTTTAGCTAAAGTAAAAAAAAAGTGAATTTTTCCCTACCAATAGTAAATAATTTCCGTAACTGCTAGATGAGAAATTTAAATAACATACACTGAAACTTTTTTTGCAAACTCCTCGATTGAAATCTTCACATGGTTTGCTACCAACACCATGCTTAACATGGAGATATGGACAGTGTTCATCGGAACAAGTAAGGCGCAAAAAATAATCACAAATTGGCATTTGATGTGGGGAAAGGCAATGAGCCAATCCACAACGACTGCGACATAAACCCAACATTAATCTGAAATTAATACACAATTCGCAGTGAACCTTCTAGTTCAATATACAATCATCATACTGCCAGGAAATGCACTATATTTAATGACAGAATAATTGTAATTTTGACATGTCTCATTTAAAACCAAAGAAAAATAAAACTTTACCTGCTGCAAATCTTCGTAGTTCTATGCGTAGAATCACCATCATGATCGAAGGAACAAAATATACCAGCTAGGCAATTACCATGTTCCGCAAATTCGAAACATTCGTTAGATGCCTCCGTATAGAGTTTATCTTCAAAAACCAGTTCTTGTAGTTGAAAACAATATCAACTTGAATAGGATCGGAAATAAAACTAATTTTAAATGTTCAAGCAGAATGAAATATATTAAGAAGACTAATTTGTACTCCATATTAAAGTGGGACGATGCTATGAGCATTTATTCTCACCCTTAATCCTCCGAAGTCGACGGTTTATCCTTCGCATTTTAAATGGAACATTATTTACCAGTGCAGCCTGCTAAACAGGTTTTCATGAATAATACACGAACTGTACATACAGAGATAACAAATAACTACAAGAACTACTTCAACAATAAAAACCAGTTAAAGAATACCATTTCATGATTTTAGAAGTCTGCTGTACAGGAATACCCATAACAAAAAAAAAAAAAAAAAACTTACAGGTACTTCATCTTCAACCTCTAAACCCTCATTTGTTTGTCGTCTCCTCCACGACATGCCATTCTTTGACATTGTTCCGTTGGAGGAGAGACGTTTTGTTGCTTTTACTGTTTTTGATTCTACAACTGTATTCGGATGAACAAATGCTACGCCACTAGCTGAAACGAAGTGGAACATTACAGCTACAAATCAATAATTGAAACAAACCACAAAAGTAGAACCCATATTAGGAAATAGTTTATAAACATACAGGAATCTCCACTTTGAGTGATGATTAGATTTGGAGCAAGAATCTTTTGCGTTGGGTGAGCAACTTTACGCACAATTTTGGTAGCAGTACGAATAACAGCTGGAGCCTGATCCATAAGTAATGAACGTTTCACAGACGTGGGCCTCAATGACGTATCTGGACTATTGCGATAAGAATCCTGAAAAAGAACGCAGTTATTAGTTACAATAGTTCTGAGCTGCTAACCAAAATATTACTTCTGCAGATAACAGGCATTAATCAAATATTTATAGTTACAATAGTTCTGAGCTGCTAACCAAAATATTACTTCTGCAGATAACAGGCATTAATCAAATATTTACTTGGCAAAATAATTTCTTATTTGCAAATTTTTCTTGAAAGCACAAAGGAACGGTAAAGACCAACGAATTATTGAAAAAAGAACACACGTAGGGATCGAAGCGCAATGCAAAAAGTATTGGTATGACCTTTGCATTTGTTATATTAACATCTTCCAAAATTGAATACCTTTTCAGGCTGAGAATCATTATAATCGCTACTATCATAATTCATATCGTCACTTCGAACTTTCAATGGGAATGTGCGTCCTTCTGAAGATTGTGGGCGACCACAGTTTTCCGGTAATTTAAATACTTTCCCCCTGAATTGCGATCGTATGGTTAGGCTTCTTTCATTTTGAATTGCTTCTCCTTCAAATCCTGAATTTTGCTAATCATGACCAATCAGCTGCTACGATCCAAAGATTTCAAACCTAACACAGATGTTTATTGTCTCTCCTTCTTCCCCATCCACACTTCCCCTCGCCCTCTTCCTTCTAAAAGCATCCAATACAAATTTCAACTGCAAAAATATAACCTACCGGCAGTAAATTTTGTGTTTTGTCCACTCAGATCATCTGACTGAATTACCTATAAGAAAAGATGAATAACATGTCACAAAGTAATCAATATTTTTGATCTTCAATGATGAAGAAGACCAATTAGGGATATTACTACTCGCTTTTATCTACACCTTTCTGCTGAGAATTCTACAACTGGCATTAATAACCGTTTTTTTTTTTTTTCAAGCATCGTTCAAATGTTAAAAAATGATATGTCAGAAAAGACGACATATTAAACTACATTAATCGTTATCAGTGTAATACTTTCTTAATAGCTGTGAAAAACAAAAATCCACACTTATGATTTGCGTAGGACCCTGCCATTGAAAAATCTAACCTGTTGATCACTCTGAAGAGATCTAACCTGCTGATCATTCTGAAGGGTACATTTTTCAGCATGCTGAGTATTAGTACCTGTAAAATCCAAAATTTAGAAACTCGACTTTTATTCCAAAATTTTTTCAAATGCTTCTCACCGTTCCATTTAACAAACTCTACGATGCTTACACAAAGAGTGAAACACTGCTTCTATCTCCATTTGATTTTAATAGTATGTATTTCATCCAGTTTACTTTCTAATAAAAAAAATTTGCTTAACAAACCTTTGCTAAAGTTAGTAAGCTGCAATGTTACAATAGTTCGCTTTAATGGCATACCAAGCTGAAAACATAATTCAAACAAATTCTCCGCACATAAAGAGACATAATTCTGCAGAAATTATACACAGCACTTACTGCTACACTCAGTAGAGAAGTATTACAAAAATGATCAGACCGAACACAATAGCACAGAAGCTTTATTATAGTATATCTTCAAGAAATTTACCTCAGGTGGAGGTGGTGGTGAGTCAATTAAACGAACATAGGTTCTCGGTCCGGGATATGTTTCGGTTATTCGGTTTGCCGCATTATTGCGAAACATTTCCATATTAGAGGCGTATAATGGTTCATAGTATTGAACTGAAAATTAACAAAAGATTAAATCAATGTGCTTCAATAAGGAGTTCATACATTCAGAAATATAATAAACGTATTAAGTACTTAGCTTCCGCCCGAAAAAGTAATCACACAAACAAAAGAGAAGCAATATTTAATTCCTTACTTCAACTAAGAGACGTAAATATGGTTAGGGATACATTTATAGAGATATAAAGAAAAACTTAATAAGTAACTTAGCTTTCGTCCGATAAAGATTTTGTGCTAAAAATATCACTGCTGACAGGTCAAAAAACCCAAATAAGTTAAGGATAGAGACTTGACAGCAAACGATCAGAAGCATATGACGTTATTAAATGACAAATATGTTCTTATCATTACTGGTTAATAAATAAAATATGAAAAAAAGTAAGAACTTTAAGGCACACTACAAAGTGAACTGACTTTCATTCATCCCATTAGTTACTGGCTCATAAAATTGTTGTGAATTCCGCCAGTAGGAACCTGCAAAAATAATTAAAACTTACTTTTTGCTAATTCGACTGATATCATGATAAAAAAAAACTAAAACACTAAACACCCGATGAATGAGAAATTGATAACATGTTAATCGTTCATCCATCCCAATAAATTTCTTAGCTACCACAAGGCCGTATTATCTTCTTGTAATGTCTAAATGTCTACGACATAAACCTTTTTTTCATTATCACCTTTTGCCATATCGATGATGTTTTCCTGCGAAAATTTAAAAAATTACAAGAAGATAATATCACCTGTCAATATTGACCTCTTATGATGTTTTAGCAAAATCACGACAGCTCAATCAAACAGTAGCTCGTGGAAATCTGACAAACCAAATTAATAACTGCATTTGTCCAAAATAAATTAAATATAGACATGTATAAAAAATTTAAAAATACAAACAGCTCTGATAAAGCATTTGAAACAAATACTTCAGTATGTATAGATATCATGAATAAGATTACCTGTTATAAATGGATTATTACTTGCTAGTTGTAACGGTAAAGAATCAGGTAAAGGTGGTGGTGGTGGTGGTAATGGCAAAGGTGGTGGCGGTGGAGGTGGTGGCAACGACACTGCATCGCATCCAACTGTAATCTATAATCCATTGATAAATGATAAGATTGTTATCTGCTGAGAAGATAAAGGAATAAGTAATACTTGGCAGTAAGTGATAATGAATAGACTAAGTTATAAAAAGACTAAAAAAACATTCTTGAAAAAATTATCAAATCCATCCGCTATTGTACCATATCTTTTAGAAATAATCCAAAGGAAAAAAGAATCAAAAATGTATTATGAAGCAGGAATCAGGCACTAATCCTAGCAAAATTCCAAGGCCTCAATTTACTTTTTTATTAGCAAAAACAATAAAATTCAGCAAGAAATGTTTACCTTCAAGGGTAATGTTGTCTCATGCTGTGTCAAATCCACCAACCCACTTCGTCCATGGCGGAATCCATGCCGATATGACATATAATTTCAAATGCTGCAATTAAAAATTTATCCATCTTTTCAATTTTAAACTTTACAAATTACAATCATCCCAATGGTGATAACGAGGAGGATGGCATGCCTTTTCCTGCGTACTGAAAAATACCAATAATTTTCACTTTCACTTATATGTAGCTTCACGCGATTCCCGTAACAATCTCCGTCGGTTCGGACAACCTTGCACAATGCGCAGTTACACGTCAAATGCACAGCTGCACATCAAATCAATACATGACATCAGAAACCACGTAATTTCTCACATGTTGGCCTCAGTCCAAAATTAGTAACATCACCGACCATAGTACAAAAAGTAATCCAATGAGACACGGTTCAATCAGACCACGACGATTTAGGAGGTTATTGGGATTTTGATCTGCTCCTTCTCTGTGTGTCTTACTCCTTTTGATCTCCGACGACATTGCATTTCACAAATTCAGCGTTCTCTTTTGCTTTTTTTTTTTTGTCTTTCTTAATGTAATATCATTATGCATATGATTTTTTTTTCCACATTATCCTGATGATATTGACATCTCTCTGCTATTTTTTGCTTTTCATTTCATACGTAACTGATGAAATTTTCAGTTCCTTTTTATGAAAAATAATACTTTTCAATGCGATTTGTCAACTTTTGAAATTTCTTCTACACATAAGTACTCAGTTCTCTTTGCATCTTTTTAGCAATATAGTTTTTCTCTTCTGCAATACCTTTGGAATTCATTATAGATCTTATTTCAAATTTGTGAATTCTAATCTTTTAATTATCCAAAATTGAACTTTTAATAGCACTTTATTTTTGCCATCATTCTTCCAATCTTTTTTTTTTTGTTCTTTAATTTCCAATCAATATTCTCGCATAATTATTAAATTTTTGATCATTATACCATATTATACTTATATATGTGGAATGAATGTTTTAGATGAATGCAAGCAGCAACAGTGGCAGCAGCAATGCATGTTTTATAGGTGAAGGATGCAGTAAGTATGTAATACCAGGTGATCGATTATTTCCTATCAGTGAGCAGATGAAAGCAGGTATTGGTACTTACGAATTGTTTGGACATATTTATGCATCATTAGCTGGTACTGTACATATGTATACAACTGTCGAGGTGATTTTTTAACTTCAGGGAAGCGTAGAAATAATTTATTCGATATTTATACATTTGGATTCCGTATTATTTTCAGTTTTCAAGATTAAATCGTAAGGATTATCATTGCTGTTAATAAAGACAAGAGCATAACATAGGCTTACTACATGCATTCTTTACTCTAGAAAATAAATGATTTCTTAAAATCGCAGCTATTGTAAAGTCCTTAAAAATCTTAAAGGTCGTCTTTGTTTTTTATTTTGCAAAATGATTGTGATTATAGAGATGATTTTCTCTAGGGAGAAAATTTCAGTTTGGAAGAAATTTGTCATTTGGAAATTACTTTCTCTGTTCAGAAAATGAGACTATTTTATTTTTAAAAATTGGAATACTTTAAGATGTTGAGTGAAATAAGAATTCAATAATAATAATATTTTTATTCGTGCGATCTAGTTTTACAGCGTGATAAGGAAACGAAAATCGTGGAAGTGCGTCGACAATCAGAGAAAGAGAAACGACATGTCATGCCATATGTTGGATGCATTGTAACTGCAAAAGTTTGTTTTCCTTGATGTTCAGTATTTGCGTGGTTACTGAAAAAATTAAAAAACTAAAACTGAAATGGAAAATAAGCGAAAGAAGAAGTTTAAAAATTCTGGTTTTTGACTGAATAATTTAGCATTTCGGAGTATCTTTTGTGTAAGTATCAAGCTCTTTGAAATGTTTAATACAGGATGATAAAGAACGCTGCAGTTTGAGTTATGAAGTGGCTTTTTTATCTCAGTGTATTGCATATTCATTAAATATATGAAGTATTTGTTTTTAGTTGCCTGAATAATATTGAAGTAGTTATTAGGAAAGAAATGAAAGTGATTAGTGTTATGATTTAAAAAATTGTATTTTTGGGTGCAAAATATTGGTCAGAGATTTGCCAAATGCGCGATACACTGTGTGGAATGTTCTGCTTTATCCCACGAATTTAATGGAATATTAAGGAAAGAAGATATAATGCCTATCGAGAAAGAGAAAGTGAAATTTTTTTCTTAAATTGAATTTTATAAATGCTAGTGATTGATAATTATATGTTTATCTTCAGTTCTTGAATTAATTTATGCATGCTATGGTATCTGGCTTTCAAGAGGTTCAAATAACCTAAAAAAGATTTCGCATGCGGACAAATTAGCACTTAAAACAGATTAAACGGATTGATTTGGATTAATATCAGTGAAGAAACAAAATTTTTGATTTATCCATACCTATAGTGATCCTATGATGTTTCTTAAAATGGGACTCCATATGCTTTCTTTTTGCAGATAAAACTAGAGCAATGTGTACATCCCGGTGATGTCATTCTAGCACGTGTTATTGGTTTTGGTGATAATCAGCATTCATATTTGCTCAGTACCGTAGAAGATGAATTGGGTGTTGTGAGCGGTATTGGTGATTTCGGTGAAAGAATGGTGCCGTGTTCTTTTAGTGAAGTAAAATCAGTTATAACAAGTGCGCGTGAACCTCGAAAAGTTGCGCGTATACCCGATTTGAATCGTTAATTATTGTCTTACACTACTTACTGTGTTAAATTCTGTAATTTGTTTTATAAATGTTTAAAAATTTCCAGTTCAGAGTTTTCTATTTTAACATATAAAGAAAATTCAAAATTTCTTGTGAGAAATTTGAGATTTAATGCGTGAACAAAAATTAAAAGAAATATCCGAAACTTCTATTAAACGGAGTAGAAATATCCCTTGTTTGAAAGAAGATGTATGTTACTTTATGATAATATCCTTTCGTTAATTTCATGACTAGCATTGTAAGCTCTTTATAGTCTATGTTGGGTTTTGTCATTACAGAAAATGTGTGCAATTATTCTGAGATTATGATTATATTTTCATTAAATATTCACTTATCCAGATCGATTACTAATGCATCCTTTGTCTCATTTAATGTGGTATCCGAAATTTGATGTTCGCATTTTGATTAAAATTAATATATTACTGCATGAGAATAATTTCAAAAACATCCTTAGTCACGGAATAACATAGCATCTGGGATATTTCATACTCAAAGGTGATTCCAATCAGATAGAAAATGAAGAAGCTGGTTTATTTACTGTTTTACGTTATCTTTTTGGTTGAATTTATCAGCTTGCCATTATGTGGTTATTGTGCATGACAAACTAAAAAAATCGAAAAGTATCTTGCATTATCGATACATTCAGTAGAACACAATGCTGCATTATTATTAAATTCTTAAACCGCAAGTTTCTGCTATTTTTGCCTCAGTAGTTAATCTTTATTCGATAGCTATAGCCAGCAATTAATTCAGTCTCACTAATTTAACTGGAAGCAAATAAAATTCTTCAGTGCCATCATATAAATTTTACGACATTGGAGAAAATATGATGAACTCTTTAATAATGAAAGTCACTTCATATGATTTGATTACTCGTTTTAACTTTCTGAATTGTCATTTATGGATTAAAATATAATTAAAATGTATTCAATCAAGCTTCCAAACAAGGGAAAGCATTGTTAGGATGCTTCTGTGTGATTCAGTGCTGATCATTGTTGGTGTTGTCATTCATGAAATATTTCCTATCCTATTAGCAAGAAATCATTTTGTTTTAATTTTATTTTTATTTTTATAATTAAGTTCTTTGGAATTGGATTGACAGAATGGAAATTACAAAAGGATGTTGTTCTGATTTTTCTCTACTTTTCTTTATCACCTTCGGTTTCAATGTGTTTTTTCCATGTGCTTTTTAATAAATAATCCTACTATAAATAATTATC